GCAGCAGCGCTGGGTGTGCTCAGCTGCCTCAGGCTGGCCCTGGCTGCAGGTCACAGCTCCCAGCTCCATCCCTACAGGTCACAGCTCCATCCCTGCAGGTCACAGCTCCATCCCTGCAGGTCACAGCTCCATCCCTGCAGGTCACAGCTCCATCCCTGCAGGTCACAGCTCCCAGCTCCATCCCTGCAGGTCACAGTTCCATCCCTGCAGGTCACAGCTCCATCCCTGCTTCCCAGCTCTTGCCCCCCGGAGCCTCACCCCCCCTCACAGGGAAGTTTAGTCTAACACCTAACCCAAACCTGCTTTCTTTCCACTCAAAACCACTCCCCCTTGTCAGACAAAGAAGCAAAAGCCGAAGCACCACAAGCCTTTGCCCAGCACGGCAGGGACCCGCTGAGCCTCTCCAGATGGGATGGCTCCAGGGGGCTCCTAAAATTCCACATCCCCTTCTTCAGGACGTGCCCATCGTGCTGCCCACAGGAGGACGTGTCTCTTGGCACCCCCTGTCCCAGGCTGCCCTCCCCAGAACCAGCCAGTTCCCTGCTGGAGGGAATTCTCTTTCAAGCATTTGTCCCAGTGGGGAGTGGACTCAGTGCTCATTCCTGCACTCTCTGCCACGCTTCGGCTGTCCCTTCCAAAAGGAACATTTTAAATTAATATTAATACTCTGCATCATGTCAGACCTTCTCCTGCATTTCTGCTCTCTCCCGGAGCACCTTCCCTGCCTGTCCCACGCCCAGCAGTGAGGTGATTCCGCAGGCAGGGCTGGCGCTGCCGGGTGTTCCTGACTTCTGCTGGGGCTGAAATGGATTGGTGACACTGTTACATTCACAGGAGAAAGAAAAAGGCTACTGGTGTTCATATGTGCTTGCTGTATTATTTAAGAGAAGCCATTTGAGAACACAGGAGAAGCAGTGTCTGCTCCCAAAAGGAGGGAAAATAATGGAGGGGAATATTTGCAAAAAGCTCAGTTAAGTAAATATTTTATGCCAAATAATGTTATGGCTTTTGAATGATGCATGCAACAGAGTTGAAAGGAGGTGAGGCAGGGAGCGAGGAGCACGTGGAGAGCATGGAGGTGTCGGTGCCTTGGGCAGCGCCTCTCACCCTGGCAGGGCTGTGCTGCTTGCAGGAGCCACACGGGAGAAAAGCAGCCCTGCATGGGAGCAGAGAGCAGGCAGAGGCACTGGCCTGGCCCAGGGGGAAGGGACAGGCAGGGAGAGCAGGAGACAGGGCAGGAGAGCAGGGCACGGAGGAGGGTTTCTCTGGGCAGAGGAATTCTCCTCCCGGCAGGCGCAGGGTGAGCAGCTGGCACGAGGGAAGCACAGAGAGGAGTAAAATACCATTAAGTGTAATAAGAAATGTACTTAATCAATGAGCTCTGCTGCTGAGGATCAATGAGGGGCAGACACAGCCATTAGCTAAGAAAGCTGAGGAAGAGCCGCAGGCCCAGATGGAGCGGTCGATGCCAGGATTAACCAAGCTGTCCCAGGTGGAGAGCAGAGCCAGGCTGCAGCCACAAGGCTGGCCCTGCCCTGCTCCACAGGGCTCAGACCTCACCAAGGAGCAGAAAGAGGAGCCCAGGCTGCTGAGGAGCCTCAGGCTGAACCCTGGGAATCACCACAAGTATTCAATAGCAGAGACCAGGGAATGGGACCAGACCCCCTCATCACCATCCAAGGACATCACTTGGCTGCAGAGAGCAAGAGACAGAGTTTTCCTCCCTGCTCTCATCCTTTTGTCTCTCTCCTCGCCTTGGGTGCCGGCCAGATCCCTCCCGAGGACCCCAGCTGTGAGGAGCTGGCTCCAGGGATGCAGGATTGGTGCTCCCCTCCCGGGGAGGGGCTGCCCCAGCCAGGGAAGCAGAGCTGCTGCCGAGCCAGGGCTTGGCCAGCCCAGCCTTGAGCGGTGCCCGGGTGTCCCCCGAGCCTGGAGCCACCCGGCTGAGTCCCCCACGGCTTCCTCAACAGAGAGGCTTGATTTTCAACCCATGAGCAAACTGAGCGCTGGGGAAGGCAGACAGCAAAGTGGGCACAGCCTCTGGGGCTCTCTGCCTTGGAGAGGAGACCCTCCCTGCTCCCGACCTTCCCTGCAGGGAATGGGGGACAGGGGCCGTTCGGGGGTCTCTGCAGTCTCCCCCACGCCGGACAGTGAGTCCAGCCCCGCGGACAGATGTGGGGACCCCACGGCTCCCGCATGGGCTCCCAAGGCAGCAGCAGCTCGGGGCAAGCCTCAAACTCCTGCCTGCTGCTACCGGAGCCAGGTCCCGCCCGGAGAGCCCCCCGCAGCACTCAAAGCTTCTTTTCCCACCTCCTTCCTCTTTTCCAGCCCTTCCAAGCAGCTTGGCCGGAGCCCTTTCCTCCCTCCATCTGCCGCAGGGCTCGGGCCAAGTCCGGGGCTGCTCCCGGTTCCGCACAAGAGCCCGAGCGCTGCTCGGTGCCTCCCACCCCCGGCAGCCCCGGGTCCCCCCAGAGCCCGCAGCTGCAGGAGCCTTGAACCACACGCTGCTGGCACAGAGGTTTTGGTAACGCTGCTGAGCTCAGGCTGCCCTCGGTGCTCAGCCAGGCTGCCCCAGCACTGCCCCAGGGAGCTGCAGGGCTGCCCACGGCGTGCTGGGCACATCACTCTTCCAAAGGCTGGGAACAGGCTGGGACACCAGGCACCACAGTTCCACTGGCAGGACGTTTCTCTGGGCTCGTGTTCTTTATTTTTAGCCCCTTCATCAGTCTGCACAGAGCTAATTGGTGCACAAGTGCAGGATGGACAGTGCCAGCCCCCCAGGCCTCTGCAGGGACAGGGCTGACAGCTTGTGCAGCCCTTGGAGCTCCTTCCCCGTTCTCAGGAGTGTTTCCAAGGATGCAGGATTGCCAGCACGGAGCTGCTGCTCCAGAGGATGCTGAGCAGGGACATGGTGAGCCCAGAGCAGCCACGGCCCCTTGAGCACATCCCCACACAAAACCAGCGCCTGGGGCGTCGTTAGTGCAAAATCAGCCCTTTTATAGCTGGAGCTTGCAGTGTCCCCAGGCAGCGTGGCCAAAGGTGGTGTTCTTTATCTGTGCCTCATGCTCCTCAGATACCGATATCAAAATGTGCCTTGAAACACTCCTGACATCAAATATTCCTCGGAGATTAGCGCAGTGCTTCCTCCTGCTCGTCTCTTGGCTCCCGGAGGAGCCGATGAACACGATACGTTATCAGGACCTTCCCCGCTCTGTTAGCACAGGCACAGGCACTTGGTGACCCACCTCAGAACAGCACACTGAATATTTAGGACTTTCCCTGAGCTTGGTAAACGATAACATCTTTATCATGAGCCCTTTAAACCCTCGGTGCTGCCAGGAGGCTCTGTCCTCCCTGAAGGAAAACACCGAACCCAGGGCAGCACGTAAGGAACAGATAAAAAATAGTTCCTTGAGTAAACATCAGTGCTGGGCTGGGAGAGGGGGTGCTGGGATGGGAGAGGGGGTGCTGGGCTGGGAAAGGGGGTGCTGGGCTGACAGGGAAGGTGCTGGGCTGACAGGGAAGGTTCTGGGATGGCAGGGAAGGTGCTGGGATGGCAGGGAAGGTGCTGGGCTGACAGGGAAGGTGCTGGGATGGCAGGGAAGGTGCTGGGCTGACAGGGAAGGTGCTGGGATGGCAGGGAAGGTGCTGGGCTGGCAGAGGCACACTGAGCTGAGGGAGTGGAGCACTGGGTGCAGACACAAGTGCTGGGGTGCCGTTAGTCCAGCACCCGCTCCGTGCCCTCCAGCAGCAGAGAGCTGGCTCGGGGCTCGGGCTGCAGGGCTGGGGGCTCAGGGAGGGATCCACCCCAGCATTTCCACTGCCTGCAAATGCCTAAGGCTGTGCTCCCAGCTGGTGCCAGCCCTGAGGTCCCTGGTGGGATCACTTGGACCTCTCACAGTGTCCTTGCAAGGTTATCCCATGTCACACTGGGGAAATGCCCACGCTGGGAGAGACACCAACACCCCCCTGACAAATCAGCCCAGATGGGAATGGTCAGGACTAGAGAGAGGCTGTCATTCCATCCAGGAAGAACAAACCCATGTGCCTAAGACTCATCTACCCAGCTCAGTCTTGGGGAGAAACATCAAGGAATGACCCCAGACATGGCTGGGAAAACCAGGTGGAGACAGCTCTGCTTGGTGAGGAGAGGGCAGCAGGCAATGGGGAAGCAAAGCACCAAGGAATAAATCTGCAACTGAGCAGAGGGAGATCAGCAAAGACATAGAGGTTGTGAGTTCAGAGCCCAGGGAACCAAGGCAACCTCTGTTACATAACTCTACAAAAGCCTTAAACTCAGTTTTTCTGAGAAATGAGTCGTCAGCAATGATTAAACCCAGAGAAGCCATAAAGCAGCAGATATTGATAGGATGGGGTGCTGATACAGCGAAGCTCAGCAGTGCACGGGCGGATGAGGGTCACCCATGGTGAGCAGCAGTGGGAGCTGGGCTGATGGGACACGGGGGCTTCAGAGCTGGGCTCACCCTCACGAGCATCTCGGGGGTTGGTGCATGGTCAGGATCCAAGGAAGAGCCTCCCTCTCCAGTGAGCAGCTCAGCAAAGCCACACTGGAAAACCGTGGGTAAATCCAGACTCCTTCCCGAGCCTCTGAGCCTCCATGTGAGGGTGGACAAGCAGTCCTGGGGTGTGAGCTGCCTTCTGAGGCTGAACTGCTGAGCACAGAGCAGAGCACCGAGAGCCAGGAGTGAGGAGAGGACACCAGGATGGGCTGAGAGGGAGGGGGGCTGTGCAGGCAGCTCCCAGCCCCCCACCACACCAAGCTCCCTGTTCACACTCACCAAAACTGCACCACCACAGCTGAGGGAACAGCCAGATTTGGTGTTTGACCCAAACAGGAGGAGCTTTAAGATAATGTACCACAGAAAGACAAACAGGACAATTTGGTTCTGATACCAGATGCTGGCTGAAGCCACACACCCGATCAGCAACTGCAAGATTAGATAAGGACCGAACTTAGTCCCGTCCTGCACGTATTAATGCGAGCTCTGCGGACACCTGGGCTATTCCTGTTCCAGGCACAAAGATGCTCCTGGCACTGGGGCTCCTCTTTGCTGCCCTGTCCTTGGGAAGATGCATCCCCCTGCAGCAGGGGCCCAGCCGCAGCAAACTCCTCCTGGTGTCCTTCGATGGCTTTCGCTGGAACTACGACCAGGACGTGGACACCCCCAACCTGGACACGATGGCTGCGGACGGGGTGAAGGCCAAGTACATGACTCCTGCCTTCGTCACCCTCACCAGCCCCTGCCACTTCACGCTGCTGACCGGTGAGTGCCGCACGGGGGCTGGGGAAGGACAAGGTCAAGGCTTGTGGTCACACACGAGGTCAGGAGGCACCCAGGGGAGGCACCCAGACCCAGCAGCACACGGAGCTTCAGAGCACATGGGGCAAGAGATGCAGAAATGGTAGATTCAAACTAGATGCAAAGAAATTCTTCCCTGTGAGGGTGGTGAGGCACAGATTTCCCGGATTGCCCCATCCCTGGAAATGTCCAAGGCCAGGTTGGACGGGGCTTGGAGTCAGCCTGGTCCGGTGGGAGGTGTCCCTGCCCATGGCAGAGGTGGAACAGGACGGTTTTTAAGGTCCCTCCCAAGTCAAACCATTCTGGGATTCTGTGAACTCAACCTGTATTTATCCAAGGTAAATAGCACCAGACCAACTCGATAGCCTCCTTTGATAAGATAAATTATTTTTTAAACAAGGGAGATGCTCTAAATTTAATCTTTCTGGACTTCAGTAGTGCATTTGATACAGTGCCACATGGGAAATCATTAGTTAAGATGGAGAAGATGAAGATTAGTACAAAATCTGTAATGTGGGGAAGTGAGAGGCTACGGGAAGAGGACAGAGCGGATGCTGAGAGGAGATTGTCAAGCTGGAGGGAGGGCACCAGGGGAATTCCTGAAGAATCGATTTTGGAGCCAATCTTATTTAAGATTTTAATTAATAACCTTGGCATAAAAGAGTGGAGCATGCTAATGAAATCTGCTGATGGGCAAAAGCAGGGAGGCAGCGTCAATACGAGGGAGGACGGGGATATCATACAGAAGGGACTGCGCAGTCTTCGGGACCAGAATAATAAAAATAGCACAAAATGTAAGAGTCAAAGTGCATCTCTCCCTCCTAATGGAAACTTCTGCTCACTGACATCACGGACTGTGAGCACCAGCAGTGAAACACCACGGGATTAGCTGAACACAGGGAACCTGCCCGTGCCCAGAGGGCAGCAACAGCTGCAGGTGGTGCTGGGTCCAGGTGAGACCCACCAGACATGGACTAACCCAGGAGGGAAGCAGCTCTCCCCCAGCACCTCCCTCCCTGTCCCGGGACCCTGCTTGGCAGAGGGCAAGGGTAGGAAGGGGAAAAGAGGAAGGAGAGGCCAAAGGTCCCCTCTGCCCAAAGCCAGCCCTACACCCAGTGTGGGAGTGAGACCCCCCAGCACGGCCGGGCTCACCCCCTCCCCTCATCTCTCCCACAGGGCGGTACCTGGAGAACCACGGGGTGATCCATAACATGTGGTTCGACACCAAAACAGGGGTCAGACTGCCCTACTACACCACACAAGGCATAAGCAGCTGGTGGGACAACGGCAGCCTCCCCATCTGGATCACTGCCCAGAGACAGGCAAGTGTGGCACCTCCTCGCACGCACAGACCCTGCACAGACCTGTCCAACCTGCCATCCTCCAGGAAAAGCTACAGGCAAGCCACCATCCCCTGTGGCCCTGAGTTCCCAGCCTCCCCATGAACATCAGGCTAATTAGACCAGCAAAAAACTGAAATCCCCAGACACTGGCAGGAATAATTATGATCATTCTACTAAAAATAGCAAAAAATAATAGATGCATTTCAGCTTTATTAAGACATTAATAAAGCAGGTTATCCTGTTCCTGTTTAAAGAAGCCCCAGCCAGTTCCTCGGGGAGCATCCCGAGCCTGGGAGCTCCACACGCCCCAAGGAGCCAGGGCGTCGGGGGGCAGCATTGGGGACCACTCCCCTCTCCCCTGGGAGCTGCAGCGAGCTGGGCACGCTGTGAATGTGGCTTTGAGGCAGGGCATGAAACCCGGCCCAAGACCTTTGCCCACATTTACGGCCAAATTGGCTCCTGTGGCGTCAGTGAGAAACACCTTAATGTCTTGATGGTGCAGAGCCAGAGGGTCCACACAAGGGGCAAGTGGGTCACTGGTTCCAAAGTTTAAACCGGTGTTAAAACACACTGAGGAAGCGGGTGCAAGGGCAGTGCTTTCAATTAATCACTTCTAATTGGCAATGAGCAAGAAAACCTCATTAGCGGCAGAGGTAGACATCGGGGACTGAATGAACTGATCGTGTTAGGAGGTGGCTGCACTGACAGATGGAAGGATGCTGCCGAGAGAGTTCAGGTGAGTTTATGGAATGCCTCCACTCGCAGGGTTTGAAGACAGGCTCTATCCACTTCCCCGGAACCAAAGCGAAATACCAAAAGGAAGAAGTGTACAAGAAGTTGGTGGAACCCCCGTTGTTCAACTACAGCAACGAAGCCAACTGGAGGCAGAGCATCAACACCGCCATGGAATGGTTCACAGCGGAGAACCTCGACTTCATCACGCTCTACTTTGGGGAGCCGGACTCCACTGGACACAAGTTTGGCCCTGAATCCACGCAGAGGAAAAACATGATCAAGCAGGTGGACAGAACCATCGGGTACTTGAGGCAGCGCATCCGGGAAAGCGGCCTGGAATCCAACCTCAACCTCATCATCACATCTGACCACGGCATGGAGACCGTCATAAAAACCAACGAGATTCACATCCGGACCTTCAGCAACTTCACATTCAAAGACCTCGACTTTGAACTCTTAGATTATGGACCAAATGGACTCCTGGTGCCAAAAGAGGGGAAACTGGAGCACGTGTACTCAGTCCTGAAAAATGCCCACCCAAAACTGCACGTTTACAAGAAGGAAGAGTTTCCAAAGAGATTCCACTACGCCAACCATTCCCGGATCACCCCTCTCCTGTTGTACAGCGATCCAGGCTATGTGATCCATGGGGTAAGGTGCACCTCAGGCATGTCCTGCTGTCCTTTGGGATGTGCCTCTCTCTCCTGTCCCTCTCCCAGCACCCCAGCACCCGCCCAGCTTTGGGCCTTTGTGCTAGCTGCTCTCCATACATACAGATATCAATTCCAGCTCTTTGTGTAAAGACCTTCTCTGCTGTGGAGAGCAAATATCCAGAAACCCCGGAGCAGGAGCTGCATAAATGCAGAATATCCATTGTAGGATCCTGATTTAAGGGAAGGCCCAGCAGGCAGCTTCCCACTGGAAGCTCCTCAGTACAACAAAACTTGGACATCGTTTAGGGAGGGAACTTGCAGGATGCAATTACCCGAGAGCGGTGTCTGGAGGCACCTCCAGCTTCTGCAGAGTTTAACACCGACAGATCAACTCCCAAAACTGAGAGGAACCAACCAGATCATCAAACCCTGCAGCTGCAGAACGTGGCACACGAGGTGGGGGCGTGCGGGGGCAGAGGGGTTGGGCTGCTCACCTTCCTGCTCTCTCCTCCAGAGGTACAAGGTCCAGTTCAATAAAGGGGAACACGGCTTCGACAACCAGGCCATGAACATGAAAACCATCTTCCGTGCCGTGGGACCCTCCTTCAAGAAGGGGCTGGTGGTGGAGCCCTTTGATAGCGTCAACGTCTACGCCCTCCTCTGCGAGCTGCTGGGCATCACCCCCGAGCCTCACGACGGCTCTCTGGAGGTCACCAAGCCCATGCTGCGTGAATCCACGGGCAACGAGGGCAACGGTGAGCGGTGGGAGCCATGGGGGGCAGCGGGAGGGGCTGGTGTCACCGGCGGTGACAGTGGGCACCAGGAACAGCGACAGACACCAGAGGTGGCACTGGGCACCGGGAACAGCACCGGGAGCGCACTGGGAGCTCACCGGGAGCGCTGATGGGCACCGGGATCACTCCGGGATCGCGCCAGGATCGGGCCGGGATAGCCCCGGGATCGCTCCGGGATCGCTCCGGGATCGGGCCGGGATAGCCCCGGGATTGCTCCGGGATCACTCCGGGATAGCCCCGGGATAGCCCCGGGATCGCTCCGGGATCGCTCCGGGATCGCTCCGGGATAGCCCCGGGATAGCCCCGGGATCGCTCCGGGATCACTCCGGGATAGCCCCGGGATAGCCCCGGGATAGCCCCGGGATCGCTCCGGGATAGCCCCGGGATAGCCCCGGGATCGCTCCGGGATAGCCCCGGGATAGCCCCGGGATCGCCCCGGGATCGCTCCGGGATCGCTCCGGGATCGCTCCGGGATAGCCCCGGGATAGTCCCGGGA